TTATCGTATTCAGTACATTCAACGTATTGTGGCAACAGTCATCATGACCACACCATCCACCGAAATAGTAAATATTAGAATGAGAGGTGGTACAGGAGTAGGCAATTACTCCTAATGGAGGAGTACCTCTTGTTAGGTGAGAGGACCAGTCAGCAGTAGAAAGCTGGTACACATTAACTCTTGAGGTCAGTTCCCTCTTTTGAAGGGAGTCATGAACTCTAGGTAAGTCAACATGCCTCCCTGCCCACAGGTAGAGGGACTCACCTATTACAGGAGCTTTGTGACTAGCTCTCATTTTGAAACCTGTAGTAAATGAATAATGATAGAAATGAAGACAATGACTACAGAAGAACAAATAGAAAGAGAGAGCATGAAGACAGAGGAGGAGGGAAGATGGTAGGGAGAGATAAACTAACTTTTTCCAGACATCCTCTTCTTCTAAACAACAAGCCACACCTAACATTCCAACAAATTAATTATCACTTAGACCACACCCTCTACTTAGTTTTATTAGCCACCACGTGCCGAAACGTGGTCATAGAGCAGTACTGCTCTGCATCACTTATTGATTAGAGAGGAGTGATGAGGATATCAGAGAGACTATTTAGTACTCACAATGCTAATGTACTGGAGGAATGTGGTGTATCTGTAATTCTGTATAAGTAGTAGTGTCATTGGTACTGGATAGAGCTATTAGAGAGGAGGAAGAGGAGACAGTAAAAAGGAAGCATGTCATTCACTACTAGTGATGTATGACAGGATCACTTTATAATCATTGATTAGAGTGTTTGTATGTAACTGGAACTTTAAAACATCACGAACACCCACGCAATGGAAGTGTATTAATTAACTGATTGTGGGAGTGGCTGGATATGATGGCTGGAGTTGATGATGAGGATTGTGGTGGGATTGTGGTGGGATTGTGGTGGGATGATGAGGATTGGGTGGTGGTGGGGATTGTGATGAAGTGGATCATCTAGATGAAGCTGTTACTAAATCCAGGAGCTCTTTCAAGACTATGTTTAATAAAGGAGTGAAGTACCAGGCCTACTTGAAGAGAGTTGTAGAAACTAAGAGGATCAATGATGAGAAAAAGATGGAGACACTCCAAATTAATGATGATGATCAGAATGATGATGATAATTTATATCCTTTTGATAGTTTTAATACTTTAGGAGCTATTGGATTCAGTGTATATGGTAAGAATAAACAAATAATATTTATTTACAAAGCACTGAATTCATATGAGAAATTTTTGATTATTAATTTTATTATTATCTAGATAACCCATTCATGGAAGTTAGTAATCTTCTCATGTCAACCTCTGGAGTTTGTGACTTAACAAAAACAACACAAACAAAAACAACACTAGAAGATACGACAAAGTATTGTCAATCACGAATATAACTTTATATTAGACAGAGTAAATTAGGTGAGGGTCTGTGTTACATGGATGATAGTGAGCCACTTGATACAGAAAGTGAAGACAATGAGGAGTCCTCTCATGGAATCAGAGAAGTGGCACGTTATGTATGCTCATAATGTGTGTTGGGAATTAAATGATGTTATTATTATTCATGTGTGTCAATTGGTGTTAACTAATTATTTTTGTGAGCATGCGCAGTATGTGATGCTGTGCAGTTGAAGAAAAGAGAAGTAGACATTAAAGAAAAGAGTCAATATGTGTGCTATTGTATCCAGAGCAATTGGACAGCCAGTATTTCGAAGTCCCTATAAAAGAACACAGCAGCTATCGTATAATGTGCATAACAAAAATTATTTAATATCATATTATTCTTTATTATTAG